GATTTTGGTTTGTAGGAGAATTCCAATTAAGTGATTTCGCATAGTCGTGGCGATTTTAAGATCATATTCAAGGTACTTTCGCGTACTTGGCATATTTATGGGTGATGCAGTAACATGCTAGGTTTGGTTAATTGAGTTACAAGTAGTATCATGCTAAGATTATGTTTGGAATTGTGAATTATTGACATTGGTGATGGAATTATGAAGCATGATTTATTTGTGATGGATTATGGATTGGAAAATTATAAATTGGTATGTTTTGTATGAACCACACTTTTATTTATGGCATGTTAGAATGCATGTTTAATTAAACTAAATGTTTAATATGGTTTGGAATATTAAAAAGGAATTTTATTATGGTTCATATAATTTTTATTGATGCTTTAAGCATGAGGAAAGCCCTATTTAAGTGTCTTTGTACACGAGGGTTAAATTATATTTTGGTGCGAACCTTAGTGCACTTAAGGTATTTTTAACACCGAGGGATAGGATTTGTGGCGCTTTATGCGTTTAAGGTGTCTTTGACACCGAGGTAGATTTAAATAGGGTTCAACATAAAATATTATGTGGTCACTAATTATTCAAGAATTAAATTGGTATGTTGATTGTTTGAATAATTATTGTTGATTGTATGATTATGGTTTGAGAGTCATCACCAACTTTAATAATATGTAAATAACGTAAAGTGAAATAGATTACGCACCAAAACTCTTGAAACGTATATACCTTGAGTATGAACATATGGGGGGAGTTATGGGGTTTATATTTAACCATAATTTCTACTAGAGTACAGGATGATGTAAATTCCTTTATTATTATTATGCGCGGGAATTCCGCCACTTACGAGTGGTTATTTGATGTTAGCACGGTTAGCTCCTGTGTTAGTAACCCCATTATTGGGGGAGGTTAGTTGGGAAACCCGTTCAATGCGTAATCAACGCTAAACAAATTATTTAGTTGTCTAGTTGGGAAGTTTTGTTGAATGTTGTGTGCTTGTAAACAGGTGCGTTGAGGTAAGTGTGTGTTGATAGGTGAAAGCATATTAGTGTGTTTAAATACGCTTATGTACCCAGCTTTGCTGATTGTGTGTTTGTGTGTTTATTGGCCTTGTTTTTACCTTGGTCTTATGATGACCCATTTTTAATGGAGAGTAGTGGAAACAAGTAGAGAGAAGCTTTTCAGGTGATTGAAGCATATTCATGACGGGGCATGAGTGAAGAGCGAATCATGCTAGTTTCTATTAGTTTAGGAAAATTTGTCAATTACTACTGCGTATTAATGTCACTTTGAAAATTACTACCGTGAATAAAAACTTGTGAGTTGCTACCGCAAAAACTTTAAATTTATTTTTTACTACCAGGTTCCACTTTAGGCCAATGATGATGTCACATAAGACAACTAACTCATGTTTAACCTATGGTTAAGCATTTAAATGTCGTCCTAAATAAAAAAAAAAAGAAAATTAAAATTCCTCTAACCATGGTTACCCTCCCATAACTAACTTAACTAAACCCCCTTTTTCATTCTTTCTCCTTTCCATCGTTTGTAAAATCTCTAATTCCCACTAATTCTCAGTAATTCTTCCCATCTATCCTCTAATTGATCTTGATAAAAGTTAAATTTGTTTAATTTCTTTTTCAAAAATTAATCTTTTACTAGTTTTCAATTTTAGGGTTTATCAAATTTTAGGGGTTTTGCAATTTAGGATTTTCGGATTGCGATTTTAGTTGGTTAATATAAGACTTTTGTGTTTTTCTTTGAATTAAACCCAAATCCAATCATGTGTGGCACTGTAAGTTCTTTCTTTTTGGGTCCTCCTCCAACGTGGCCATTCCCTTCTCCTTCATTGCTCGGATCTATCTCTTGTCAATTTAGCAAAGAAAACAATTTGTTGCAAAACAATCTTCACTTTGCAAAGTCGTCTTTAATGGAGTTTGAAGTTAAAGTGTAGAAGAGAAACAGAGAAAATGGGTTGGGTTAAGGGGTAACCATGGGTTAGAGGATTTTTAATTTTCTTTTTTTTATAGGACGTTTAAATGTTTAACCAGGGGTTAAACATGAGTTAAAGGTCTAAAGTGATGTCATTATGGGCTTAAAATAGAGTCTTGTAGTAAAATAAATTGTTTAAAAGTTTTTGCAGTAGTAAATCACAAGTTTTTTAATACGCAGTAGTAATTTTCAAAAAAACATTAATACGCGGTAGTAATTGACAAATTTTCCATTAGTTTATGATGTGGTTAATGCTTTGATTATTTTATAATATTATTACTCATGAGACTAACACAAAGTTTTGAAGTTGGTTTGGTTTTTAATAAGGGCCTACAATGGTTCCAAGTGGTAGGTTCATTTTATTTTACTTTGTTTGACTTTGGTTTTGACTTTACTTTCGTTTGGTTGACTTTTAAGTTGGCTTGTTTTGAATGGTTTTGAATTTAGTCTTCCGCTGTGTGTCTTTGGTAGTTGCCTTAGCCGTTTCCATGGTGGCGGTAACTTTTTAGAT